CACAGATAATTCCCTCTAGCCCACAACTCTTGCCCCAAAGAATACAAAGTGGGGTGCAAGCAGCAAATGCTGTTCTCCAAGAGCACTTTCCACCCAAGATGTTCCACCCAAGTGTCGGCACTCTGGCTGTATCCCGACCAGTAGCTGCGTTTATGGTAATGATTAGAATACTGTATTTCAAGAAGTTGTTTCCTTTCCCACAAGAGCATTTATTTTCGCATTAATTGTAATAACTGCTATGAAGATAGAAGTCTTAATTTGCTCATAAAAGAAACAGACACAAGTGACTTTCAGAAAACAAAAAGAATACTTAAAGGCATCTTTGCACATGGAGAACTCAGATTTGTGGTAGTAAAGACCATTGGGATTCCCACATTACACTTATCCATTGTGTTTGTTTGTTAGCATTAAACTTCTCTCAATGGATCAAAGACCTAAGAAAAAGCCTTTCAATTCTCATCCAGCGTATTAGATTTCTTTTTTCACCTCTCAAAGCTGGTTATTTTTAATGATAGCTTTTAGAGATGCATTTATAGAATTTATGAAGGCAAGACTAGTTTATGCTCTCTTCCCAATCCTAATAATTTTCATAAAGACTTCTTGTGTTCTCAAGGATAGCTTCCTGTTATTCCAAAGCCATAAATTAATCTTCCAGAAGTTAAGAGCAGCAAAGAAGTTAACAGTGACACAAAGAGTTGACAATTGGGGTGTATGTTTCAGGTATGGCAGTATTGAATTCAAATCCCATGCAGCTCAGTTTCACCTAACAATAAAGACAAAATGCTTCTTCCCTGACAGAAGCACTAGGAGAGCTAAAAAACACTAAGCATATCTGTTGCAGATTACTACACTGTTGCAGATAGTTAGGGTCCGGCGGCCGGAAGATATCGCGCTGTACGGAAAGGTAGAGCCCCTAATAGCCAATAGTGTTAGTTTATGACGTAAGCAGACGGATGTGACGTTGTAAACCTAGCTATATAACACCTTGCTACCCATCAATAAACACCATTTGCCGTCTACCACACTGGTGTCAGCGAGCTGATGGCCCGAGTGGCCTGGGGGTGGTCGCCGTGCTGTTCCTGAACCAGGTCGCCGCGCCACTTGAACGGCAACACATATCAGTCGCAAACGCAGGCCTAGGGTTCACAGGCCCTATAGTTTTTCTCTGGCTTATCCATAATATGGAAAAAAAGTTACAACTTATTCTAAATTAAGTGCTCAGCTATCATCAAATTTGCTTTTACCTGTCATGTACTACTCCAGGCATCAGCAAGGACACCACAACTGCCCCATCACACAAGTGTCCTGTCCCCCGCACTGCTGCACACAACACGTGGCCTGGACAAGGGCTGCCAGCGAGCGCCACGTGCCCAACCACGCGGAGCGGAACCGTCGGGCACAGAATCAAACCTTTGCTTGCACTGGAGCCAGGAGAGTGGCGGAGACTAAACGTGTAACGAGTGGCACTATTTGAAACTGATAGAAGCCACATCTTCTGTGGCTAGACAATCCCACTTCTTGGCACAGAAAGATTTTTTAAGAATACAGATATGAGAGGAGCATTTATTCAATCCTTTTAACTATTTATGATTTAGATAAGCACACTAAGCTTGGTTATCTAAATCATAAAGTCAGTGAGTGAAAAAAACAAATACACTGCCAAAAGCAACATTTTTTTTTTTGGAAAACAGAAAGATTGATAACAACAACAAAAAAATCTACAAGATAATCCAGCACAACATATCAACAGAACACTTCAGAGAACTGGAGCTGGAAGAATCACACATTCTCTCTACCGATATAATAATCTTATTATAAGGCAGATTGTAAATAACTCCATGAGGCAGTAAAATCTCAAAACAATCTATCTCCTCAGGAATAAAGCAATGAGTGCATAAAAAAAAAGTTGCTTTGCAATATTTTTAATTTCCTAAAATTTCCCAACTTAAAAAATACACATTTTTCAGAATAGCATAACACTTAACAGAAGAAGGCATTTTCTTTTAGGCTTCCATTCAATCTAAAAGAAATAGTCCAGCTGGAAAGCTGAGACAGCAGACAGTAAGAGTTATCTATCCACTCAAATAAAAGGCATACTCCAGTGACCTATAAAGTCACTTATATTTTATACAACTGCAACAAGTAGGAAATCACCAGTTACTTCTGATACTATAGCAAACCATAACATTAGAGGAGTATTTTGAACTTCAGCCAGCGCTTTTCAGACTTAGGAATCAAGATCATATTTTTGTCCTCAACAGTAGCATCTCTCAAAGGAGGGATGATGTGGCAGAAGAGAGTCCAGCACGGACCAGCTGTACGTGCGGCCTCCAAGCCTCTCTCCCCACTCTTCTTCATAAGCAGCATCAGGGAAGGGTACTGCCATCCAGAGAGGTGCTATTTATGTACTGACCTTGCACTCAGCTCCCAGTAGGCAGCTTCCATAGTTATTGTCCAACAAATTTAGTATTTTAAGTACTGACAACTCATAAGGAGCAAAACCTGAAACTAAAATAAGAAAGCAACCAGAAAATTCAAAGAAAAAAAAACATTTTCAAGGCATCTGTAATTCTTTAGGTGTATAGTAGCAGAAAAATAGCAGAGAAATTTAAACGCATATAAAGTAGTACATAGTATGTGATCCAGCACAGAGAGCCTGCAGGTGAAGGTAACCTGCTTCAGATATAGCTACAGGTAACATTTCCCATTAATTCTTTCAAGAAAAGAGAATCTGTTCACGGCAGGATAACAAAAGCCTTTAAGAAGTAAAGAACTACATTAAAAAAATAGGAAAAGTACAGAAACAGTAGAAGTGAAAGTAAAACAAGGATTCCCAACTGTCATAATCTACGCCAGGTGGGAAGGGATCCAAACAACTAAGCAATGTGGTACCTCTCTGTATGCTCAGAATCTTCACTTTCATCTCCTTTTCTTGTAGAGCGTTTCATTTGCCATCCAACTGATTGCATTTGTAATATGCAAAAAAGGCTGTCCACAAAACTGCAGTTCCAGTTGGTCAAAGCTTCGTTCCTACATGACTCACTGGAATAATAAATACCATAACAACTGGACCGTACATATCATTACCTGCATGCACATCTTGCACAGGCCAGCTAAAAGTTTTTGATGCACCAATCAAACGCCGAATGCTTATTTCAGTGAAGCACACGATCAAGTGCTTTTAAAATGTGTAGGACAGGAACTGATATTCCAGTTTATATTTATTTCAAAAGTTGCAATTTACTTTTCTTCAACACCTGTACCTTGGCACATTCACTTAATCCTGCTAAATCCTAGAATATAAATCTAGCTTTGAGGTCCTGTATTTTTAATGCTATACCTCATGCACAACACAGAACCTAGAACTTAACAAAAAGGATTTTAAGACCAATCAAACGCTTTAGTCTATTTAAAGTATATTCAATCCATCATCTAAAAATTGATGGACCTTCTACAACCATATCCCAGAGGAATAGGTTTTAAACATTCTGTATGAAAGAACCACTACTAACCCAAGTTAATTCCTCATCACCACACTACTGCGCAACACAGGAAAGAGTCGAGTTGTTGCTAAAACCAGGAAGCTGTCACTGAACAAGGTTCCTTCAACCATCAGACCCAGTTAAGAGCTATAAAGCCACTATCCCTAGTTAGGGCCGTAGTTTGGTCTGCAGATCACCATTTTGCTAAAATCTCGAGGCTTTACAATCCCATCCTTGAGCACACAAATAAATAAAAAAACAGAATTCAAGCTGTGATTTCAGCAAAAGTACATGGAAGAAGTGTGCGCCTGTCCCACAGCACAAAAGCTGTTTGTGCAGCATACACAGGCAAAGCAAGTGGTGAGCAAGACCGCAATGTTTCAACTGCAGGCAGAGGAACCTGGAAACAAATTTGGAAGCAGGCGTATTGCACACACCACCTTCCACTGAGCACATATCCCTGTACCAGACGTCCAGATGTTGCTTGGACACACGACTCTTGCATGCAGAAATGAGCAGACAGAGGAGATCTCATGGATACTACCCCTCATACAGTGCCCCTGGAGTCGGGACAAAACAAAACGCAGCCGTCTTCACGCTGCCCTTCCACGCAGGGAGAGCAGCTTCCAAAGCTCACGAGCCGAGGGCTGGCAGGGCAGCATCGCACACAGCCCAGCTCCGAGGGGAGGCCGGCCTCGCGGCACAGTGCCCCGCGGCCGGGCCAGGCCCGGGCGGCGCTCACCTTGCTGGATGTCGCCGTTGGCGCCACCGGGCACGGGCACACTGAGCTGCCGCTCCGGCTCGGGTAGGCAGCGGCGGCAGAAGGAGTGCAGGCAGGGCAGCAGCTTGGGCTCGGCCTCACGCCGGCTCTGCAGGCTCTGCGCGCACACGGCACAAGTATCCAGTAGCGAGAAAGGCCCCAATGCTGCCGGCGTCAGTGGCGGCAC